ACCATAGCGACACTCTGGCGCTAGGTTCTCTTACCAGTATTATATTTCGTTCATATTATAACTCATAATGCACAAAATTTATATCATTTAAAGAATTATCTAATCGTTGCCACATGTTATATTCAAATACTATAATAAAGCTATAACGATGTATAAAAGAAATTAAGCAAACAAAACAAAAAGAAACAGTTTTTCACAGACGATTGAGTATTTCTCATTCAATTAATTCAGTTCTCACTTCGCGACAAGGAAAAATACATAAAAACTCAAAATATATGTATTAAAAATTGCGAAGTAAATCTTAAACACTTATTTTCTCGAAAAAATTCCAGAAAGGATTAAGCATGATTTAATTCGCAATAATAAATGAAGGCATTATCTTTGTTGTTGCGAAGCTAAGTTTCTCTAGATTGGCAGCAAATCCACTAGTCTGCTGTTTCAAATGTGAACAAGGAATGGCCGCCATACAAAACATTATTAGGTTTAGCAGCACTTAAACGCTTTGAAATTGTTGATAATTGTCAAACTATTGCATACAGATTTACTAAAGGCATAAAAACCTTAATCGGAAGATAAGAACAACATAATTCAATCATTTTTAAAGCAAAAAATGTACAATTTACAAACATATAAGTGTACAGAAACTGAAGGTCACTGAGCCGGGTAACAGACTGGATATATATGTAAATATATTTGTATACGTTTGGTGCGGCCGATTGCAACTAAAATACGAGGTGCACATCTACATGTTATAGCAGTCCTATACACAAAATTTCAACGTTCTAAGGCTACTCGTTTTTGAATTATGCAAGATACGTACGTACATACGTTCATACAGACGCCACGAAAAATTCTCTTCAGAATTCCTTTTAAAGCAGTTTTATAATTTTTTGGAGGAAAAGAGTCTTTTATTCTGTCCTTACGTAGACATATCACGCAAAAACATGGTTAAATTACATTCGATAGCGGTCAAAATGGATATTTTCGTTGAAATATGCTGCCTAAAGCTTTTCGCGATTACAATACTTCCTTTTTACTTCGTACTTCCTTTTTACTTCCTTTTTTCTTCCTTTTTAATTCGTAACTAAAAATGACAATGAAATATGCCAATCTCTTAAATATAGTGACATAAGAAATTCGATGAAAACTTGTTGCCAAACCCAAATTTCTAAAAGAATGAAACTATTCAAAATGATGCGATTTCATCAAAAAATCTATCAGCAACAATAAGAAAGGAAAATCATTGCAAAAATCACATTTTTAAAGATGTGAGATGTGAGAAGTGTACTCGGGAGCTTTATTTAAATTTTTTTTAAAAAAAACATAAAATAGTATCATTTTTCAAAATTCTTTTTGTAAAAGCAGTCGCAAGTTTAAAGTGTCCAAAAATCAAAGAAAATAAACTGTACATTTAAAAAAAAAGAACTTTTTTAGAAAAATCCCGTTGAAAAGGTGTTCAGCTCACTTTGTTAAATAAATTCGTATTTAATCGATTTATTGAAACACGAAATTTATTTTAAGTTCGTAAAATAGCTAATTTCCTACGTTTCATGACGATGTGAAAATGGAGTGTGCAGAGTAAAATCTCGCTTTCCTATACCCCATTATGTATCAAAATAACGCGATTTTGTCACAAAACATAAAATAAAAAAAAAATTCGAACTCGAATTTCGAAAAAATTGCTTCGAGGTGCACTGGCTCTTGTCTAGATGCACCTATGTACCAAATTTCGTAGCCGTGGGTCTATTAGCTTAAGCGCAGCGCGAACGAATGACACACACACTGACAGACTCTTTCTTTTATTATATGTAATGATTATTTTTGTTGTGCCCAATTATTACTTATAATTTTACTGTGAATAGGGAACTTTTAGTGATTTTATTATTTTACTGTGAATAAGGAAATTGTAATGTTCTTATTTAAGAATTAATATTTAATATTTAGTATTGTTTAAAATTTTCGTTCAATTATGGCAAAGATCTTTTAAGTTTGGCTGAAGAGTTTGTTGCAGCTAAAAGGGCAGGTTTTTCTTCCTTCCGGTTGACACGAAGCGGTCAGTTTGTGCACAGCTGCAGTTTCCTCTTTTCGCTGTGTTGACCACATGCTTAGAGGGTGGAGGCGAAAAAGTATTTCGGCCTCTCTGAAGAAGAGGACTGGGTGAAATTAAGACGCAATAGCACGCCGAACAAATACTAATTTAGAAGTCAAACAACAAAAAATCAGCGTTATATTTTCAAAATTTTCACAGGACTAGTTTCGATGGTTTTACCGAACCACCATCCTCAGCTGCAAAACCGCAAATGAACAAGATAGAAAATAATGATTAGATAAGGTAAGAAATCTTGGACAAGAATAAGCAAGTGGCGCCATCTGTTGGTGAAACCAGAACTAAAAGAAAATAAAGAAAGAAATTATGTTTTCGTTCTGGTTTCACCAAAAGATTCTTATTCTTGTCCACTTGCTTATTCTTGTCCAGGCTTTCTTATCTTATATAATCATTAGTTCCTATCTTTTTCATTTGCGGTTTTGTACTGAGTATGGTGGTTCGGTAAAACCATCGAAACTAGTCCTGTGAAAATTTTGAAAATATAACGCTGATTTTTGTTGTTTGACTTCTGAATTAGTAACTGGGTGATATGTTTATTACTAATGGATGTCGCAAGTTTAACTGAATTGCGATTGAAATTATGTTTCTTGTTTGCGCGGGAAAGTGTATGCCATTTTGTTAGGTGGCTGAATATCTTCGAAATTTAATCGTTGTTTATTGCCTCTGTTCTAGTGGGCTAGGAGAAGTTCAAGTTTTCAGTTTAAGATTGGTTATTTTTAATTTTATTAATGCTATAGCCAATAGTGAATTAGAGGCGTCCCAAATTTTGAGCGTCATCCAGGCTTTGCACGGAAGGCAGAAGGAGATTTTGAAGATGCTGGCAGATTTTGTTTAGCAGATTTTCCTGAGCCTTTATCTGTTTCGAATCTTTGACGGCGGCGCGCATGAAGCCGGCCGAGGTCTGATGACCAGTTCCCGTGGTTGGCCTGCTGCGAAACCGAACAGTCGCAGTAGCGGAGTCTTATGTGCGAGACCTTTCCAACTTTCTGAGAGGGAGCGGAGAAGAAACGCAACGGCCCTTCGGGGATCGACAGCAGTTTGCAGAAAAAATATTACCTCGTCCCCTTGCTTCTGGTTGCGGGTATCCGTTCGAACGCGTGGAGGACTCCCTTCTTGTCAGACGCCAGCGAAGTTTTTTTTCTCCTTTCCTACTGCATATTGGTTTCGATTTCTCACGGTCATTTATTTTTAATTCCTTGTTGAAAGAAATACAGATTTTCAGATGAAAATAGGAGAAAATGGAGTGGTTTCTGTTCCAGTTCTCGCTGACGATGCAAATTTATTGCTGAGATTATGGACTGTCGTTATCTTCTCTTGTCTTTTTGCCTGCCGTTATCCACAGCGTCAGCACGAATATTTCAAAGGCTGATTTTAGAGTTAAAATGCTACTAGACAGAGTAGTGCTGAACTAGAGAAAATACCCGTCGGTGCCTTAAACTGACTTCAGTATCGGTATTCCTGACAACGATGAAGGTTTGACCGTTATTGTTTCGACGATTTTCGACTAGATCTAGGCAGCTCCCTTAGTCCCTCTGACTTGTGTACGCGGATTCCGTTAGTGAACTTTTTCTATTTCCATTTTTGTTTTTCTTTTAATAATTAATCTATAAGAATTTTGGGAAGTGTTAAATTCTAAAGCTTTAGCTGACATTTTTATGTACATTAAAATTCGAATATTTGCTTTTAATCAATCAACTAATAGTTAAGAAAGTGTTATGAGCAATAGTTGAGAAAGTTTTAGTTATGATTTTTTTAATGTTTAATTGTCATGAGTTTAAATCCTTGAGTACATGTTTAAAAGATTGATAACTGTAAGGTGTTTTAATATAATTATTAATGTTAAAAATGAGATTTATATGAAAAAAATTATAAGTAACTTTTAAAAAATGTTTTGTAGGCGGTAGTCTGGCCAGCTATCTAAAATTATAATATTTTGAATATTTAATAAATGTTTTTATAGTTTTAATTAGTGTTTGTTTCTTTTAAGTGTTATTTGTGGTCTACTGTAGGTCACCCATGCGTTCCTTAAGGAATCATGGTTATTCAATTCGAACCTGGGTAAATGATATTGCGGTAGCAGAAAAATCAAATTTATGTGTTTAGTGACTATACGATCGTTGCTTAATTTGTTTGAATTGGTGATTAGACATTCTATATTGTGTGATTTGTCTTTCCCTGGTGTTTTGAAGAGTTTTATGTTGCATTTTAAATGTAAAGTGTTTTAGGGCTATCTCTAGAATTGTATTGAAAATTATGTGTTTTTAAGTTGGAGATCTGAATTAGCTTTATTTTATTGAGAGATATCAGATTGATTATTTTGTTGCGGAAGTGCATTTTGCATTCTGTTTTGATAAATAATCGTTGTTTCTACCAAAACACCAGGGAGTATACTTTTTAAGTTTCCATGATTTAAGGAGTTGAGTGGGATCTGTTAAACTTATTATTTTATCTGCGTAGTTGTTTTAAGTGAATTATGCTTAACTTAAAGTACGTTTCTTTTCTCCAAACATTTCAAACTGTTAGGATAAGAAGTTTTGATTATCCGAGTACTTTTAGTCTGTTTTGTTTTTGTCACGGCACCGAGAAAGAGGAAGTCAGTTTAAAAGTTTAATGTTAATGTAATTTTAATTTTTACGTTTTTTTCCCTACGTAACAGAAGCAAACACTTCTTAAATACATGAGGTTGATACAAAAGTACAAACAAATACCTGTATATCTTGTCTAAGAAAGCCTTATCGTTTGGACTTGAAATGAGAGTTCATGAATGTAATTTTATTGTATCTATGCAATGAAAAAATGGAACATTGCAAAGTATTTTCGGTTTATTCTTTCATTTATAGTTATATTTGTAATTTTACTGTGTTATTTATGTTGTTCCATATTTACTTTCTAGATCTACCTGAGCTTCGTCTCGCTCTGGGAGCAAGCATCCAATATACGGCTATCAAAGAAGGTAGCGATGTTTATTTCGATTGTAACATAAGGGCTAATCCATGGGTACATGACGTCAGCTGGAGATTCCAAGACCGATTATTGTACAGCAACACTTCTGCCGGAATCATCGTCAGCAATCAGTCTCTTGTATTGCAAAGAGTTAAAAAAGAACATCGGGGGATGTACCAGTGTGTGGCTGTCAACTCAGAAGGAGAAGGGCGTAGTGAAGAAGTCCAACTAGATGTCCAGTGTGAGTAAAATATTATTTTCATCGTTTCAGTTTAAACTAAAATCATTTATAATTACTAGCAGAAAAATGTTGTACGTCTATGCAGCCTATAATCCCAGGACAGCAAAATTCAAAAACAGTCTAGTACAACTAACTGAATATTTCCCTTAAGAGCCTGTTCGAATTTGTACAGTTTACATATTTATAACTGCTTTTTATTACTTCCATGATGATGAGGCTTTATTCTTCCGGGAATGTTTTAGCTTTGCATTAGTAATAGGAAAAATCCTAAGAATGTACTCCGTATGAATTGGCCCACCAGACGCCGATTTGTCAAAAGCCACCAAAATTCAGTAATATACCTTAATACTGGGCCCATTTGCTAATGGACTGCTTTCACATCTTTTCATTGATATTAAGATACTACAATAGTCACCGTCTTAATGGAAATTGTTCTTGCCTATCTCTTAAGAAGTTCACCACAGAGACAATACTAATTCAGAAGTCAAACAACAAACATCATCGTTATATTTTCAAATTCAGCGTTTTGAAAATATAACACAGATGTTTGTTGTTTGACTTCTGAATTAGTATTCGTTCGGTGTGTTATTGTGTCTTAATTAGAGACAATACCGTTAGACGAATCACATTCAGGTGTTTAATAATAATTCTGTTATCCTTTCCAGTATATTTGCAAGCAAATAAGGATATATGAAAGACGTATGGGATATTTAAAAATGATGGTCCGACTAAACGTAACTAATGCAGTAAGGTAGTCTTTCAGACTGCAACACCTTTGATCTCAAAACACGTTTTATTAAAATAGGAAGTTTAAAGTCTTATGCGGTAGTTCGAAAATATGAATCAAATTATTATTTTTCCTAGCTGAATAAATAAAACAAAGAAAAATTAGTTTTCATGAGATTCAAATTACGCGAGATACCAGTAAATGATATTTTACTAACCATAATTAAAAAAAGTAGAAACTCGATTAGTTGAACGCAGCAAAATGAAGAATGAAAATTTCGTGAGATTAAACTGAAGCGTGCTTTCGTCACTCTAGTATCAAAGCTTTTGGTTGGATATCCAAGAAAAATATATAGGCTTTAGAAACGTAAATATGGACTTTAGTGCAACCATGTTTTGAGAACAAACAATTTATATTTTTGAATGATTTAATCAATCGTCTAAAGAATTAAGACATTCATTCCTCATTTTGTCATGATGTAAACAACAACACATCGAAAGTATCATGCGAAGCCAGATGTTGTACTCTGACCAAAGGTACTTAATTTCATCAAATTTTTACTCCCGAACTCATATTTTCTTCAACTTTGCCACCTGAATTAAAATGGTTGACATCATTTTTGTCGCCAACGAAACTTAAGTCGATTTTTAAGATAATTTGTCACAACGTAACTTAAAATGTCCGACACTGTCTTCAATCATTCTCGGGCCTGTCTAGTTATCTTTGCATAGAATGTAAGAAACTATGATGCATTCCCATGTGTTTTTATGGGGTAACAGTCTCTCAATGCAGAGAACTTATCGTTTAGTGATCCTGTTTTTGATTATGGGCAAGGCAAGAACATTATTTTTTCAAATAACTATTTTTTTAATTGCTCAATAAACTAAGACCTGAAGAAACTGTAACTCTCAAGCAGTGTTAAAGTTTTAATGTTCTGATTGGCTATAGAGGTTTTATACTTAAATGCAGAATCTTACTTTCCTGTCTTTGGTATTCTGGTCTGTGAAAATTTGTCCTTGCCTATCTAGAGTCATGCATTAATAGGTATTTGCTGAAACCTGGCTAGCTACGGACTGTTACTTCCTTTTTACAAACGTAATAGAAGTTAAACTGACCATCTCCATAAAACTAACAGTCTATGATTTTCTAAAACCTGGGATCTATTCTAGTTTGAAGAATCGAAATTACAGATAACTGAAAAGACGATAAAAATGTATTCTAAGCTGAAAGCATGCACTATCAAGCCATCAATAAATTTGATTCCAGGAATTTTTTAAATCATATACTTTTATCAGATTTTTACCAGCTGATGTCTCTGCTCGCTACACATTTATTAATTTAGAGAAAACATGTAGAATATGGTATAAACATCACAATATGTTACCATAATATTACAAACAAATTTGAAAGACTTAAAGAATATGCTTCAAATAATTTCAATTGTTCAGTAGACTCTGTACATTAAAATATTGCTAAATATCGTAAATTTATGCTTAACAAAGTAACAGAATTCACGAATTATTCTAGTTTAAATAGAGAAACATTATAAAAGAGAGATATATAAAAAGAGAAACATTTCTTAGAAAAACTTAGTACATGTTCGTGAATAATTTGTATAATTCAAGAGAAACTTCCGTCGTTAGACATAGTACTTATCGACACCATACCTTGATATAACTTTATTTATTTTTGGTTAATTTTTAATTTTAATTATCTATTTCATGGTCAAATTTGAATCCCATGATAATCTGAGAGCTGAAAATTCTTCGTTATGGGACAAAAGAACAGATAATGAACGAACGTTCCGTTTCTTTAGAGAAGGATTTTTTCAAATGAAATAACAAACAATTAAAACATAACCTGTTGTAAACTGGTTCACGTTTTCACTAGCCTGCTTCTTATCAGCTTTGGGCAAAATATTGAAGGATAATTATACAGTTAAGATAATCATTATTCGGATAATTAGACTTCGGGGTATTTTCATTTTTACAGAATTAGGTAATTCTGTAAAATTTAATTCTGTTCATTAATATGGTCGGCTGACATTAACACTTTTATGAAGAATTTTCCCCAAGAATATTCTTTGATGAAATTGAATTTGTTTAGTTAAAATAATGAATAAATTAATTAATTTTGAAAGGAAAAGTTCTTTTTTCATTAATATCTAATAGAATTATTCTCTAACGAAGTCGATTAATATTTAAAGATGAAAGCTTTCTTTTATAAAGAATCCCCGAGTCCATGTTTCCCTTTAATTTCTTTTATATTTATCTTTGATTTAAATTCATATTAATTATTCATAATTCATTCCACTCTCCTGATACTTATCTCTTGTACATTAGGTTTAAAATTAATAACGAAAGGGTAATTTTATTTGTTTTCCAAATCTTTTACCCTAAAAGTCGTCTTGAGTCTCAACAGCTCTCTAAAATCAATAAGTCAAATCAACAATCACTTAGAAGAGATTTTAAGCGGTAGCTCTCTGAATTAAAATCTCATGAATCATACAACTCTTAGACAAGTTGAGACATGTGTTCCAGAAACAGGCAAAGACTCTTTGAGTGCTTGGAATTGAAGTAGCTAACGTTTAGATTAAAAGCGGAACAAGCCACTGAGATAACTGCCTAAAAATTAAATTCTTCAATAGAAAATAAACTCTTTAAATAACAACAGCAAACCTTTAACATTTTGATAAATATATTATAATTTACATATTTGCAAATGGCGATGCAGGTTCATAAATTTAAGACTTACTTATCGGGAGAAAATTAAAAATAATTCGAAACTTGTGTTGTATTATGCATTATTGATCTGTGTATTTCTGGGCCAGAATATTTAAATGAAATGTAAAGCATCCAAGAATTTGAGTTTCTGTGTTCTAAATCTGGATGGAATTGTATAGGTAAGCATGTTAAAAATTTGAAATTTAGTTTAGAGTTTCATTTATCTTCTAAAGAGCTGTTTTCATTAACATTTTCATATCTTATAATGAACTGTTTTCATTTATTTGTACAGAATTTTCGTGAGATGTTTTAATTTTTCTGGACTGCATTTATCCCCAAAGTACTCGTGCTTAGTTTGTTTCAAATGTCTCTTTTTCAGACTGATTTCGAAATTGATTGTGATTTTTTCCCATTAAAGGAGTTGGAACTCCAAAATCTTCAAAAAATTGTGATTTCGGATTTTTGCATTTTCAAATTCTCTACTCTTTTATCTTTCTAAAAATACCATTCTATAATCTCTATGAAAATTAGAACTGTAAAAAAAATCTAGCTTTAATTTGTCATCTACTGCTTTGATCAATGAGGATTTTTACATAAAAACGCGTTTTTCTCCAAACGTGATTTTTTTATACTCGATGTACCTTTTCTAAAGAACTTCTGCTCACAGGTATCTAAACTTTTTATGGCTTATTTATTGGGTTCCGTAATATTTATTGAAATGAGCTTTTTGTAATAAACTTAGAAAAAAAAATTTAATTTTTGTGTGAGAAAAGTGCTAAATTTTACTATGCCTAACAAAATATTCTGTAATATACTTTAAAATCAAAAATGTTTCAAAAGCTCATTTTAGTATAATTAGATAGGTATACTTTAATTACAGAAAAAATTTCAAGCTTGTATCTACAGCAAAAAAGGTACATCGAAAATGTTGAGAAAAGGTACATCGAAAATGGCCAATTCAACATTGTCGGTATAGGGGTTTCTGATACACTTTAATACATTTATATCATCCTTATATCTTTCTCAACATGAAAACCATGCTTGACGTGTATTTTAACAAATTCAATAATGAATTTTCCTGGAAGTACTGTAATTGTACTTTATTTTTTTTGTTTGCATTAGTCTTTTACTGATTTCGAGGATGAAGGTATACTCTCCTAAAAATTTTTAGTCATTTTTTGTTTGCTTTGCGTATCGAGTTTATTCTTCCTAATTAATCAAGCTACAGTGGAACCTCGAGATACAAGCACCTCTATATACGAGAAATTCGAGAATACGAGGAAAATATGAGCGAAACATTTGTCTCTAAATGCCAGTATTGACTTGAGTAATGAGCAATGAGTCAGGCTCTTGGTATGCGTGTTGCATTCACAATCCGGCTCGATTCGGGGAATCCCCCTGTCAGACCACTTAGTGTTTTTTGATCTACGAGTTTGTGCGCTTGTGAGTTAATTGTTTTTTACACATAAGATGAAAATAATTATTTCACCATGCCTCCCATGAAGACTTTTGCCTCAGATAGCGCTGCAAAGAAAAATAAGGAAGCCGTG